ACGTTAACACCGACGATGTGCACGATATCACAACGTGCGAGGGAATATAGATGCAAACAAATACGAGGCACAACCCAACACGCTAGAGGACGAGTTGCTCGAATAACCATGAGAGCTGTTTAGCATGCAATCATAATTGCAGTACCATATGGTACGCACACTGTTCTCCTTGCCTAACTACGAAAGGTAGAATATAGAAAGTGGAAAACAGGACGTGAACGAGATACTCAAAGCAACTCAAAAGTACGGGTCCAACTCTTCTGACCCCGGGAATAGGTACCTAGGATTTCTGTTATTAGATTGGTCTTTCAGTTTTTGCTGTGTCACTGACTATAACAATAACCATTTAGGAATGTATTGAGACATTCGTTGTGACAGGAGTCCATTCGTTCAAACAGACGCAGGTCCGTTTGAAAACAAATTCTTGACAATCAATCCCAAACAGATCATGGAAACTGAAAACATCGTTGACACGCTTTTGTGGTTCAACCTGAAGTTCCGTTGTATGTATTAGAGGTTCTTGACCGTTAGTGAAGCGATGTTAATTAAGTTACGTAATCGAATTTTGTGTGCACAAACGTGTCTGACGCAATCAGCCAAACTGCTGATTCTAATTTCCCCCACCTCCCCTGATTGTTGTCCGTTTAACCACTGTAATTAATAAAACATTTCCGTATAATCACCAGATTATTTTACGCCGTAGTGACTGAGGTGAGTAAAAGAACTGTTCACATCTCACGGTGTTTGTCTCCTGTCTTTTCTAATGACTAATTTGGGAAATCAGAATATTTACGTGTATTTCACCTTGTTCATGCGAAACAGATAATGGCCCAATCATCTTTATAGCAATCAGATCGATCAGTAATTGTTTAGCGGGCGTAATAATTTCAGTTCGCGTCCAAGTCATCGCCAGTGCATTCCCGATATGTTGACAGTTGAATCGTCAGCTAAGTGGAGTCAGCAAACGGGACAATTTCAACAAAAGTCGTTCTTATTCATCAAACAATTCCTCGTACATCAGAGCTCCACATTGCTGTCATCTTTCTGTGAATAGTTTGTATTATCAATACTAATGATCGCTTTCATCATACCAGCCGTTTAATGTCGTGTCTGTTTCTCGGTTTTATTTCTGAGACGCCCAATAGATATCATCTGTGCTTACCCTAACCAGAACCATGAACGAACAATATGACAATATGACTGGACATGTATCTGGCTATCTTGGAAACGTTATATAAATCACGTAGATGAACCAAAGCACTGATATCCTCTATAGTTTTTACAAAACGTATCCACTAGTTTTTACCCGATGTTTGTCGAAGGACCGTGAAGATCCTAACGGCTGTCAGTAGCTCGTTATTCCGTAACACCTTAGTTTTCAATCTCACCATAACTATTGTAGTGAGCTGGCTGGGAAAAACGTCTATTGATCCAATTCAAAAGAAAACAGTGTATGCGTTCGATTATACACAGTCAATTCTCAACCGCGCGGCGGGATGATTCATGCCTCTTTCTGTGGGTCATTCCTTGTTGGTTTTGGTCCGCACTTGGCACGTACGTTGCCTCTTTTTCCGCGTGCCATTCCTACTGGTTTGACCCGTTCGCGGCGCGAGATGCGTTGATCGACAGCTCCGACATTGTGGCATTCGGTGCGTATCTTTTCCGTTAGCTGCGGACTGTCTGTCGGGTTGTAATTGTCGATTCGCTCGTTTCGGGTGGCAGTCAACATTGTCTCGCGAGGCACTTCCCGCCGCTGCGTCTGCGCGTCTGGTTGGATAAGCCCATTCTTGATTCTGGTCGCTAACCAGACCTCTCTTTTTACTGCCTTCCATCACACCATCAGTATTTTAGAAATTTTATAGCTCAAGTGTTAACCTCCTCTCATGCAGTGATGTATGCTTTAAAGGACTTTTTAAAGCTAAATATATATTCATTTCGCATGAGGACTTTTCCCCGAAAGGCTTAATGGTGTTGAGAAAACGCAGTTCGCCCTTACAAATTTACCATATGGTGAACTGTAATGAGGGATCAAATCATGCCGCAACTTAGTCGAATCGGATGGCTTGTGACTGAATTTCCTCGCTATCGACCTCACGAATATTGACAGGCCTAACGTTAATCTATCCATTTTTCATCCGTTAGCGCTGTAAATCATGTTGAAACGATTACAGTCAACCCGCTCCAGTTCACTAACTTCTGTTCTTCCTAAGCCAGGAGCATAAAGATATAATAATCTGCCAACTGCGGAAAGTGGCTATTCCAGTGGATGTTTCGCAGGAACTATTAAAACAACGACAGAAATAGTTTGACATTGTGATTCAGCGAATTTCTGTGCAGCAAAATGCAGATAACCTAAAGATTTCTACTGTCAAAATGCTTTTGAAGGTAACAATGAATTTTATTATCAGCCTGATGTCGGTATCACTCCTGAGTCCTGATGTCGCACATATGAGGTTATCCTTAAAATTGATGGCACTTCCTTTGGTTAGGCCGCTCGCGTTCGACATTTGCTTTGTAAATTGGGCCCAGCGAAACATGAAAAGCGCTGTAATTTCATCCTTACCAAACGTCTAAGAGAACAGGATTTGGAAGGAACAGTCAAATATCCTAGTTAAATGTTTGGTGAACGATCGTCTTTGTTCAATATACACCATCAATGCCTACAAAGTTCTAAGGCCGTTGAGTAAAATTTTGTCTTCTAAGCCAATCGTGAACGTGAGTGCTTCAAACTCAAAGGCCTCACAGATGATCAGTTCAAAAATCTTATTTTTGTCTGTGGTCTCAACTCTCCCATCGAAAGCGATATTCATACACAGTCTTTATCCAAACATGAAATTGATGCAGAATTTACGTTACAAAAAGTTACCGATGAGTAACAGCATCTGATTAATTTACTACACGATGATAAGATGATCCAACAAACGGTGGAACCGCCAGTATTTATTGACATGAATGCATTGAACACATCCAAAAGATGTCGAAACAGATCTCGTAGCGCATGTTAATACTATGGACAGTGATAATTCGGTCAATTTTGGCGCATACAGACAACACGAGTGTGGAATCTGTGATGTAGTTGGTCACAGACAAATAGCCTACCACCATCGCTCACAACCGAAGCCGATCCATACTGCAAGCCTCATACGTCGCAGCCCATCAAACCTCATGAACGCTATGAACGCCTCGATTTCAAATGTCGTAGGTGTTTTTATTTGTATCAAATCACTAGTGAATACAGCCTCTGCTGTGACCATCATCTCCGCAACCACCAGGAATTTACTGGGCAGATTAGTTTTCAGCAAACAACCCACTTTGTTCGGGCGAATTCTGGGGAATACATACCATTTATTGATCAGTTCAATTGTGAATTTTCGTTTTGTGATCGTTGTTCTCATGACACTTGCAACATATCTAAACTTGATCATTTGAGTTTACTTGATTGGATGGATAATTTGATTTTGTGGTAATTTCCCTTCAGTGAAATTTGTGATAGTTCTGACAATGAGTCCATCTCACAGTCAAGTCAACTGATTGATGGTGTTTCAGTAAAGTGTGCAAACATGAGTGTTGTCCATTCACGTTTAAAAATTGACTATCCCAGCATTTTTCCTGATTGTCTTGACTTATGTCATAAAACAAAGGCGATCGCTCGAAATTGCAAATACTGGCGAGTCATGGACTAGCAAACTCAGCCCTAAGTTAAAACCTGCCACAATTACCTGATGACAGCTAAACTATCACTTAAGGCTGAACCTTAGTCATGGCAACTTGACGCGGCCCCCTGGTCAAGCATTCACTTTGATTTTGCTGGCCCCACTGAAGATATGTATTGTATGATACTTGTTGATGTATACTCCAAGTGGCTCGAAGTTACTCTGTCGTCATAACAAGCCTCAGAAGATTATTTGCCCAGTTCGGCATGCCGGAAGTCCTGGTTTCACATAATGGTCCACAGTTCACATCTTCACAATTCGCTGTGTTCTGTGCGCCAAATAGCATCCGCAATGTTCGTTCTCCTGTGTATCACCCGTAATCGAATGCGAAGTAGAACGTTTAAACACGGTTAAACAGTCTTTGATCAAGTCACGGGGGGAGAGTAAACTATAACTTTCTATGGATGCATTTCTCCTCACTTACCTCTCGATTCTCAACCCAACTATCACAAAACAGAAGTCATCTGTCGAAGTGTTTCCAAGTTGACAAATGCGGTTAATTCTCTGTCATGAATCGGAGTTCGCAAGGTATAGTGGAATCATACACCACTAAAAAATATTAACATCAGACAGAACCTTTAAAGCAGGAGATCATGTTTATGTACGTAACTTTTGCAATGGATTACTGAGACGAATATTCGGAGAGATTATAAAACGAAATGGAACGGTCATATATAACATCACAGCGGAACATTTCGTATAGACCAAGCATTTCAACCACCTCAGATCTAAGATCGGACGACGAGACTCAACAAGACTCTGCTCGGAATCCATACCAATGGATTTCGCGATAGACCACCGGATTAAGAATAAAATTTCGGCAGATTCCAACACCGACATCGAAGCATCTGTTAAACCTGACAGGTGATCATTAAACCAGTATACCGGTTAGTCATCAATCCCACGTATCAAGCTAATGAGTAGTCAATAGTGTGTCCCAGTTAATCTATTGAAACGAAGGAGTGATGAGATTTCAAATCATGCAGCAGCCTACTCGAATCGGTTGATACATAACTGGTCGGCCTTGTCATCGACCTCACGAGTATTGACAGATATACAGACAGACAAACTGACTATTTCATCTCTAACCGTACTGAAATAAGACATCAACGAACTAGTAGTAAGTAATAGGGAAGGATGCATTTGTGTTTTCATTATTCACGTACATGCTCATCATGCCACATTTTGTTCGTTTTCAAGCACTTTGCTTTGGAACACAACCGGCTTACTTCACCCATCGAACCGTGAAAGACAAATTCCCCTCCCTCCCAGTAATACTTTTCCACATCATCGTTGCATGGATCTTTCATTCACATTCTCAATTTTCTCTATCAAACTTTTGGTCCGATTTTTATACTGTGAAGTGATACGTTTGGTTTCTTCCAATGCTGCCCGTTTGGTATTTACTGCATCTACAGAATCCTCGTAATTAAACAACAATGCACTTTTCCCCAACAATCCACACGAACGTCTCAGACGAGAATTATCTGCCCGCAAATGATCTCTCGCTTGTTTTAATCGAGTTAATTGATCTCGATTAAATGTCAGTTCTGCGTCCGCAATCCCGAGACGTTGTCGCTGTTTTGCGTTATCGTACTGAACTGCTTGAAGCTTTTCTTTCACATGTGTCATAATTTGTACAGTGCTTGAAATTTTCTTCTTCAATTTAGTCAATTCCTCATTGCGTTCTTCAATTTTCTCATTGTACGTTTGATTTTCAATTTTTAATTGTTCGAAATCGATCAAATGTAAACCTTCGGCCAGTTCTNNAGTTCTTCTTTGGATTTTAAAATCGCCTCAACTTTGGCTACCTCATTGCGTAGTTTGATATTTTCCAAACGAACTCCCATCACAATGGTTTCTTTTTTCTGCTCGGCTGCGAGCATGGCCAACAAATCTTTCGGGTTGATCGGTCGCCCCGTTCGACTGTGCAGTGCCTTTTTACCAATATTATATTTGTAATTGGTAAACTCTTTATACGCCTCCTCCACCTCTTGTTGTCGTTGAGCGCAGACATTTTTCAATTCCTCAATTTGTTTATGATAGGAACTTTGCATGGATTGATACTGGCGACGCAGTTCGGTCAAACTGACAATATATTTGCTATAACGTTGCTCATAATCCACGGCTGCATCGGCAGTGCTTCCACCTACACTAGATGTACTATGTTGATCTGCCGCGTCAGCTTTCTTCCGTCGAAAGTATTCGGCCAATTTTGTTTGTAGCTGTAAATTTGTCTCTCGAGCTATTTTGTGTTCCATCACAGCTTGTCTGTATTGTTCAACCAATTGTTCTCGAATGCGAAGTTTCTCTTCCTGATCTGCCGACGATTCACCGGAGTCACTACTCGGTGTTCGTTCGGTCTGACCAGCCACGATCCCACTAGCGGTAACTTCATCAAATTTATAATCGGCTGGTTCAATTGAGGCGTCCTCGCGTGGTGTGTGTCTGCGCATCTCCGTGCTCGTACTATCCTCATCCTCACTGAGTTGATGACTGACAAAGAACGCATCTTGACTGAGCTCTTGAGCATCACTTACTGAACGTGTGGCACTGGGCAGACATGCGGTCATAACCGTCTCTTCGGACATAATCGGAGGTTGTGGCGATTTTGTTTCTGGCCCCGCTACATCCGTTTCCTCTTGTTTTGCTTCCTCTTTGGGACTGTCTGCGGACTGGACAGGATGCTCACCAGTCGGTTCCGCTCCATCCGCAGTCGTCTGCTCTTCAACTGTTTGTCCAGGTTGTTCTTCTTCTTCAATGTGTACTTCTTCCGGCTCATGCTCCGGCACATCTAGTTCCGTGTCCTGTCGATTCTGTATCAAATCTGATGGGAATAAGTAAAAATAGGCAATTTACTTGTTGAACCCGCGTCTACTTCGGACCGACTGGGTAATGCGGATGCGGCCAAGTCGTGTGTTTCTTCTGATTGGAATTCGGCTGCCGGAGTGTCTGTGACTACTAAATTCTAATATGCTTAGTAAAGTGGTGAAATGTGGCGTCTGCTTACAGAATCTTTTGGCCCAGGCTCGGGAATATCACTTTCCGGTTTGATTTCAGTCTCGGTTTGATCTTTGCGTGTATTTTCCTCGTTCTCTGTGGATTCCATGTCAAACAAAACTCAATCGTTATAGTTTATTTGGAATTAGGAATGCCTAAAACCAAGTGGAAAAATGACAAGTTTTCATTTACTGTGGTCGGATCAGATCGGTTATTGTGGCCGGAGTAGTGAACCGCGTACAACAAATAAAAATTTAAAAAATGAAAATAATAAAAATAAAATTGAAAACGTTTGGTTATTGATTCTATGAGAAGTTTGCACATGATTAAGATTTCATTTTTAGTTTATATAACAACAACGACAGCAACAACAACAACAACCATGTACTTTGATTCTCCGGATTTGGTTGTGGTTTTTAGGGCTACTCGTCTGGCCCACCGAGGAAGAACAATAAACGTGAGCGTGTAAAATTAAGAGCTACATCTGTGATTCTGCTTGAATAGATATATTCTATAGATGAATAGAAACACAGAAACCATTAGTCACATCACACCTAAGGTTCATCGGATAAACTTTAGACCTAGGTGAACTGGAACTGGATTGGTGCAAAACCAGGCCTGTAATAGCAATTGACTCTTTAATAGCAAAACAACGCACGTGTCAAATACCTTTTTTGATGTGTAACGATTCATCTATGTAAACGTCCTATGGGACAAGAGAAGCACCAGCTTGTAAGCTATTCCCATAATAAAACTTTGACTTTGACTTTACCTATGCTATCTTATTAGGACCAAAAAATAGACGGAAAAGGACCAGTGCCTACTAGAGACGTGGATTCAGTCCAAAAACAGTTATATTTATCAGTAGAATCACCCTGTTACTGGTGCTTTTAGTTTTACTACTCTATAGAAGCAGGAATTTCACAAGGAGATCAGAAATTTATAAAATCTCCATATTTTATAGAAACAAGACTACAAACAACTACTCAGCGATGTCTAAAATTACGCCTCGAATCGATCAACATCGTTCAATACGGCGATTCAACTAGCTATTTACTATTAACATTCGAGATGGTCAAGCGGCTAAGATCACTGTTACAGAGCTAAGTTTGAAAGCCACGACTGTTGTATGGTCAGATGCATTTGTTGGACAGCTCTTGCATACATTCCTCCCATAGAACTCGCAATATCAATGCTCGATCTACACACACCTGTGCACATACAGACATGCAAACCTACACACACGACAAGGGGTTTGACCAATCAGACCACCGCACGTGTCTCCTTGTTATTGATTGGCTGTCTGTTAATGACTTACTTGTAAGACCAGTAGCGGATGATTATATGCTTTGTCCTTGTACATGAATTACGATGATTTCAGTTTGTGTCCAATTAAAGGATTTACTTCCGTGCATACTACTGGTTTTATTGAATGCAACAACCAACAACAACACTTGCCAAAGTTTCCCTAAACATCCCTAAACTGGAGATAAACATAAAAAGAGCACTGGACAGCTGTTTCGTCCTGTTTGGGACTCGTCAGCAGTGCGTACTTTTTGTGTCCCTATCAGAACAAACATTTCCATCGCATTTAANTCCCCCAAGGAGTGAAACCCAAACCGAAGATCATCAAGAGTGCCTGGTGCCTCTGAACAATCGAATAGGATAATCCAAGCTCGATACTCTAAATCTGGAAAAGAACATCTTCATGAAACATGGTTGTTGTACCATTATATAAACAATAAATGAAAAGTGTGTTAAAGCTGATTATTTGAGATAATTTCCTTGTTTGATTGTAGGGTCTCATTGTTTATTTAGTTAAATTGCATGATACACATTTTTTCTTTATCACAAACCACAGTCATTCGGCATTGGGCATTCAACGTGACACTTCGATGGAAAGCCTTCGTCTTGTCTCTAAGCTTCTCAGGCAGCACAACTACACTTTCCTCAAGCACAGTCGCATTTTGTTAAGAGAGCATCGAGGTAAACATTTTTTCACCTGATAAATGTTTGCAAGATATATTCAAATAAAACTCAGTGGATTTTGTTTTGGATACTTGAGGTGAAACTAATGATTTAAGTCGTCCACGTAGAAGCCTTAGACATATCTTGCTTTTCAAACGCACCAAATCATCTAAACTATGGGAGTAGTAACCCATGAAATCAGTAGGCAATATAGCTTAGTTTAACTGTCAGATTCTTCAAAGCATACCCGATAGCAAAAAGATCAATTTTGTAACAGAAGAAAACTGGTGTGCCATTATCGGACACCAAAGAAATGTGGAATAAATTAGAAATGTGACGGAGGTTGTACAAATGTGATGGTAGTTTTAAATTTGTTGCCAAGGTTTGCAATTATCAGGCCAGATTTGCTGACCGACGTGTTGGTCAAAATGACAATTCATAGCCCGAAGATGTTTGCTAACATATCATTCAATTCTAAGGAAGGTAGTTTTTTAATTCTTGATTTATCAATTTTTAGTTACATACTAATTAATTTTATCATTATTTGCACTTATCACTAATCCGATTCATGTGAAATAATCACTATGTACATCAGTAAGGCAGACGTTCCCGAAACTATCGACCGATATAGCTAGTTCGGTGAACAGATACCATTTCAGTCTTTAAGACATTTAAGGTTACTGCTAACAGACGTGGTGAAAACCGGTCATGAAATGGACAGTTAAATGCAAACTTAGAGTTTGTTGTATTTACTCCCTGATAACTTACTGCAGATAAATAAGAACAATTCGAAATGACACACACAGTTAGCAAATTCAGATGAAAAAATTTCACGAAAAAATGCACACCAAAGATGATAACAATAATATCCCTTGTACCATTTCAAACGTTCGAAAGAACAAATAAATATGCAGATAGAAATAGGAAGATTGCGAATTATCAAATTTTATTTGTTCTGATCAATTTATCTCTATTTCCTTTTCAATTCAGCTCCTTTGATTTGGTCAAACCACTTTGTTAATCACATTGCACCCATCAACTTTAACCAATAAGCAGACGTTCCGGTTGGATGTTACCTCATTAGTTATAAATGTGTCACTCCAAGAAACCATTGAATGCATTGCTAATTATATGGAGGATTCGAGAATTTCTGCGAGATCACCCATAGCTGAGCTCAAACGAATTCTGTATCTATGTCTGCATAAAGTACAATTCTTGTTTAATGGTGCAACTTATAGACAGAAAGGTAGAATAGTCATGGGTTCACCAATAAGACCACTGTTAGCAGACATTTTAATGGCCCAATCAGAAAATAGAAGCATTCTCAAAATCCATGGAAGAATCCGCCCTGTACAAACGATCAGTGGATGGTATCATATGTGTATGCAATGCTGACGAGGATGCTGATATTCTGTTGGAGAACTTCAAGAGACCATCATCAGAAAATAGAGTTCACACTGGAAGAGGACTTCACAAATGGCCTCGCACTTCTAAACGTGTTATTGTCTCGACGATCAGATGGCCCCATTCGTAAAAGCATTTACCATAAGAAAACATGGACGGGACAGTACACACACTACCAAAGTTTCGTTCCGTTGCAAAAGAAATAACTGATTCGCTGCTTATCCAATAGAACTAGGAAACTTTGTTCTTCGAACTCAGTCGAATATCTAGAGAAGCTTTTCAAAGAGCTTTTCATCAATTTAAGATCCTTAGAGCCCGCATACAACTGTCCCTGTTCATTTTGGAAATCATCGGATTTTGGTGATTTCGTTCTATATCTTTGGAAATTTTCAACCATTTTCTATTCGATTAGAAAATTTTAGTGATTTGTCGTGGTATTTCCACCTAACCATTATCGCTATTTCAACTCTACATTTTTATAGTTATTTGGGATTGCATATTTTCTACACGATTATTCAGTTTTTTCGTCATGGATTTAATGTATTTATCCAACGAACCTGCTCCCGTGGTTGCCGCCACCTTCCAACCTCCTCCGTTTTGGGCATCTAACCCTAGGGTATGATTTGCCGTCCTCGAATCACAACGTGCGACTAGGAACATTAAGTCTTCAAAGATCAAGTTCCACCATGTCGTTTCTTTGTTGCCAGAACACCTGGTAGCCGAGGTTTTGGATGTAGTTTTAGAACCTTCCGAAGATGGGCCTTTCCAAGTCCTACGAGACGCCATACTAGAATGCACATGAAGCTCTAACAAACAGCGAATCCTACGCGTACTGCAGGACATGCCTTTGGGCAATCGTAGGCCTTCACAACTTTTGGGGCTTATGCGTAACCAAATGGGCAACATCCCACACGACGATGAATTCGTTAGGGAACAGTGGTTACAGAAGTTACCATAGGACGTTTAATTCCTTCTTGCGCCAGCGCAAGATATGCCCATCGAGGGTTTCACGGTTATGGCAGATCATGCAACACCGTCAACCCACGGTCGCCGCGTTTACCCCCACCGTCCCTCCAGCCACATCTGTCGACGGTCTCTTCCAGGCCTTTGTCGAAAACCAAGCAACTTTAGCATGGATAGAAAATCTAGAGGCGTACGCTTCAGTGGACAACAGCAATCGAGAAATCGCCAAACAATAGTCAAAATATTGTTGGTACCATGCACGTTTCGGTAAAAATGCTGCGAAGTGCATCCACCCGTGCCCGTGGAAAGGTCAACCCGTTTCGGGAAAAGATTGAGCTGACGACTGATTACGGCGTCATCCGTTGGTACACGAACTAGGAGTCGCCTTTTTCACGTTAGTGGTGTGTACTTCCTAGTGGACACTGGTGCGGAAGTGAGCGTCAAACCTTCTTCCTCCACTAAAGCTAGGCTCCCAGCTCAAGCTCTCATCCTGACTGCGGTTTACGGTTCCACAATACGTACATTTGCTACCAGCAACCTCACTGTAGATTTTAACTTATCTAAAGCAGTCGAGTGGTCATTATTGATTACTGAATTCCCCTTACCGAATCTTGGAATGGATTATGTAGCACATCACGGCCTCACTGTCGGCACAGGCAAACGCCTCCTCCTCGACAGCATCAAATCAATCAAAGGTTGAGCAACTGACGCTGTGGCAATAAGCCCCGTCTTAAACAATGACGTACATTTTGGGTTGCAAGGTTTGTTCGAAGG